ATTTAGATTAAAATCTAGATTTTAATCCAGATCAAACAGGTGCTTAGATACAAGACACTTATTGTTTGTCAGTAGATCTGAAATCATCTAAACAGTAGCTGGGTACAAGATGACGGAAGTTAGAAAAAACATTTAATGAATGACTCATTGATAAATGCAAACTTTTGGTCATTGTGATATAAAATGAAACGCCTTCTCCACTTGCTATTTTATTTTAATGAAAATGTAAAATTCAGTCACTTCCACTTTACGCATTATTAATTTTGATTAACCACTGTAACTTCTTACAGGTTTAGGATGGAGGTCCTGGAAGAAGCGATGGTTTATCCTTACGCGCACTTCTTTGGTTTTCTTCAAGAATGACCCTGTTAGATTCATTTATGCCTTCGTTTTTTTTTTCTTTGAGTAGAGTGAATTTGATACATTTGCTGCTTATTCCTGCTAAGAGCACCTGCTGTCTTGCAGACGTGATACTTCTCGCTAGTCCGTATTTGATTCATTGTCACAGTCTTACAGAACTATTGATATTTTAATGACTGTACAACTTTTGTTTTCCTGTAGAGCGCACTTCCACAGCGAGGTGGTGAAGTAAATCTGACTCTGGGGGGCATTGATTTAAATAATTCAGGGAGGTATGAATCAATGACACAAACTTGTGGACTCTCTCTGACTCTTTCCTCTATTTCTCTCTGATGTGCCTGTTTATCTATTTCTCTTGCAATATTCGTGGATTTTCTTTTGGTGCAGTGTTGTAGTTCGAGAAGATAAGAAGCTACTAACCGTTTTGTTTCCTGATGGACGTGATGGACGGGCATTTACTCTTAAAGTGCGTAAAAGATCTTCTTTTGAAATTATACATGTATATGTGTGTGTGTGAAATTATATATATATATATATATATATATATAAATAAATTATCTTATAACCTATTCTTCTTCCTCTTTTGATATTTCAGGCAGAGACATCGGAGGACTTGTATGAGTGGAAGACAGCTCTAGAACATGCTCTTGCACAAGCTCCAAGTTCTGTGCTTGTGATGGGACACAATGGGATATTTAGGAGTGACACTAATGATACAACTGAAGGGTCCTTCTATCAACGTCAGTACATGCTTGTTCTTCAGAAAATTATGTCTTTGAGCTTTGTAATGCAGATTCCTTGAACTCCAAGCAGTCCTTTAATCACATTCTAACACATTTCTTGTTGATTCAGGTAGGGATAAGCGCCCAGTGAAATCTTTGGTTGTTGGACGCCCAATTTTGCTTGCATTGGAAGATATAGATGGAGGACCATCCTTCCTTGAAAAAGCACTTCAATTTCTCGAGAAACACGGTAATTTTTTCATATTCTATTTGGATTCTTGTCTGGAGAACAACTCTAAAATGGTACTAGTCTAAATTTATGTTATTGTCTGATTCAATTGCTTTTATGATTCTTTGTCTGTTTCCTTGTTATTGAATTTAGGGGCTATTTCTAGAACTGATTATGCTAAATATCGAGCTAATTAGCAAGAAAACCTTAATTGCTTTTCCTTCCTTCCTTCCTTTTTTCCCCAATCTTGAAACTTTATTTCTACTTATACTTTCTTAACTTTTTTCATTGCTCCTTCACCATGTAATGCGCAATTCTAATTTTCACAGAAGCAAAAATGTGTTCTTTCTGAATATCGTGATTCAGTAAATATAGTATTCATCTCTACCTCATGTTAGTAAATGTATTTGAACAAGGTCAGTCAAAGTCAAAATGACCAAAGAGTCAAAAATTGTCTGGGATAATGAGAGTAATAAGAGTAGCTTTCAGTGTTTTCTGATTGCAATTACATCCTATTCCAGATTAAACAGTTTTACTTTCCATTTTCCTGGAATGGGCATTTTGATTAGTTCTCTTTGGAGATTTGCATTCATTATCTTCAAAGAGTAAATTCTTGTATTTCTTAAACATCAACCTATGCTTGATGATGATAACAGTTTCTACAATTAAGATGCAGGGTCATTTCAAATCTTTTCTTGATATATATGATGACCACCATACATTTTTAAATGTGATAGCTGACTGAAGATGAGGTGGAATATTTAGTCATGATTATAAGAAGCCAAGTCAAATTGAATCCAAGGCTAAAATTTTTTCTATTTATTCTCTCCCCAAAACAACAAAGAAAATGCACATTTTGTTTTCTTTTCCTTTCTTCAATGTATTTATTCTGACTGGGAGCTACTTTTAATAGGAGTGAAAGTTGAAGGAATTCTTAGGCAGTCTGCAGATGTGGAGGAAGTGGAGCGAAGAGTTCAACAATATGAACAAGGTACTATCTTCATGCAAACCAATGACTGATTGCAATCTAGCATATGCCAGACCAGAAGAAGTTTCACAATTTATATACTTGAAGCCAAATTTCTTTCATGCATTACAATGATTGCACTAGTTCTTTAGATTCAGTTTATTATAATATTATTGGTGCATTTTAATCTTCTCAATATTTTTAGATTTTCTTCACAGAATAATGGGGAGACTTCATTAGTGGGAGATTGTGATCTTTGTTGGGAAAGAGGTTCTTATGGTAAATTATGTCCTGAATATTGAAGATTTATTAGAGCGGAGGGTAAATGATGGATCTGTATATCCATTGACCAGTCTCCATCTGTTAGTTTCTATTGTCGTTTGATGTTATTCTCGTTGTGAAGAAAGATGAAGGGTAAAAGACTGTTGCTTCTCTATGTCTGGTAACATGTATAAGAGACAGACAAATATCATTTTCTCCGTACTCTCGTTTGCTTGTATTTTACTCCCAAGTTTCCTAATCTTGAGTCTATAATATAAACCCTTCTTCCACCTTTATTGCCAAAATTTTCGTACTAAAATATTCTGCACCTATATACTCATTGCTTGCGTGTCATGTGTCAAGGGACTAAATATTCAAAAACTAGTAAAAAGACTAACTTTTTAGCTCAGCCTAAACCTTGCACTAGATTTAATCATGATTTATTTTAGCAAGAAGTATGGTATAGCTGTTAGTCTGGGTTCAGGCTCATTTCTGAAGGATCTATATACATCATTACAAAGATAAGAAAGTGCAAATAGCGGATTTTATGGTTTAGTTGTAGACATCTCTCCGTCCTTTTCTTTTCTTGAATGTGATATTATATATATGGCATCCAAACTAATATGACTGCCACTTGATTTCAGGCAAGACTGAATTTGGTCCAGATGAGGACGCTCATGTTATTGGGGACTGTGTTAAGGTTTCTAGTATTTTACATACATAGTTCTTTTGTTTTCATTTTCATTGAAATCCTTACTTCAGTGCCATTTACTTTCTCTCAGCATGTTCTTCGGGAGCTGCCTTCATCTCCTGTCCCTGCATCTTGCTGCACTGCTTTGTTGGAAGCCTATAGTAAGCCTGTTACTTCTTTAGCTTAATTATTTGTCCCAATTTTTTATCCTGTTTGATTGCATTTCTTGTAAAACATTGGCTTGGATTCTTAACATTTAAGTGATTTCAATTTTTTTTCTTTGCTGCTGTCCTAAAAGAAATTGATCAGAAGGAAGCTCGGGTGAATGCAATGTGCTCTGCAATACAGGATACTTTTCCTGAACCCAACAGGCGTCTCCTACAGAGGTACCCCATTTCACCTTTTGTTTGTACGATGTGTTCTCATGTAAGTCTGATTTATATGTGGCCGTACATTTTCTCTTCTGTTTGTACCATTTGCTCACAATTTTAGTTTCAGTCCAGGGTTAATTCTTTTGCATCATTTCAAGTGAAATGCTCTCAATGTCAGTGATATTAGAAGAGATTCCAAATCTTATTTAGCAGCATGACGTTTGGCGCAATTTCATGATGAACATGATGTAGCGGAAACTTATAGGAAAGATGAACAAATCTCACAAAGATAAAAAACTCACGAAATTTTTTTATTTCTATCAATTAATGTGGCCTCAAAAGGTTTACAATGCTTTATATATCGAAAACCCTTGAAAATTTGGAAAATATAAAAAAATAATAAAAAATGATTTTTTTCCAAAAATGGAAAAAATCGAGATAATGACTAAAATTGAAAGTCTTAATCTTCAGGAGTATCCTCCAACAAACGGAATTCAAATTTGCATTTATTTGATTGAGATACAACCAAAATAAAAATTATCAAAAAGGGAAAAACGCATAAATGAATGCCTAAACGAAGTAATTTGCCTGATATTGGCCTTGCATTAGAGGCGAAGCCCTTAAATCTTGTTCATTGGTTTGTTACCAATCAAAATTGACTAAAAATTCGCCAAAAACGGACAACTCCAAAAATTTCTCCAAAAATCGGGAAGTTATCTATTTTTTCTTGCGCCAGTCCCACGTTGTCATAAAGTCTAATTCCTTCTGCATCACACCAGAACAGTAGGAAGGCCTTTTATCATTTATACTAGGAGAATGTTCTTGGACTCTTTTTCATGATACTCTCTCCCTATTGCAACACGAATTTAAAAGTTGTGCCAAAGTTTTAAATTAAAAAAATTTACTCTCTATTTGGGAAGAATTTATTAATTGTTTAATTTATATATAGATAAAAATCAGCGATGGATAAGTGGATAGCATTTTTGGGTCCACTGGAAATATGTGATTGAAAATAAATTAACCATTTATAAATGATTTATAAATTTTGCTAATGAAGGCTTCATTTTTGCAACATTTTGCAACATGCACCCCTGATCTATTTAAAGGAGATAACTCGGAGTAAAGTAATTAGCGTGCGATGTAATTGAATAGCTTCGACTATTATGGGTTAACATGCAATAAACAGCTCACAATAATAATCCTAAGTACTATCAGAGTAAATGTTCTAATGGAGACAATTAGAAAAAAATCGGAAGGAAATGCCTAGTCTGTTAAAAGGAAAATGGTATTAGTGCTTTTGTCTTTAAACAACGCAGGCAGACGGAGGTAACCCTTAATGAGCATTGTCTCAGGTTAAGCATTTGATAGCACCCAAGTATTTATATTCGTCAGTGATTTAACTGTCAGCTGCATGTTTAATTGGAGACATCAGGCTAAAAATTATAGAGAGATTATACATGGAGAAGGGAGGACCAGAACAGTCTTTGATGTTGGACGTGGGAGGCCTCGCCATGCTACAGTAAATTAAGCCCTGAAGTCACATCCCTCAATCTCCATTTATCTGAGGTGTCATAATCAATTCAGAACTAGTTCCCCTTCACTGGAATATTTTTACTCTAGGGGTGATTATTGCAGGACCATTTGAAGAATTTACAAATATGCGGTCATCCTCCACATTTCAGGGGAATTGACAATAGCTGAGATTAAATAGAGTGCTAGCAAATTAAATTGAATCTCTTAGATTAAGATGCAACTTGCTCTTGCATTATCAATAAAGGGATTGGACCCCAAGTTCAAGCTAGAGAACTTGATTTCATGTGAATTTTTACTGGTAATTTGTTAATTGGAATTCAGGTAGAGTGTCCCTGATCTGTGGTGTCTGTCAAATGGGTCCTTTTTTGTGATTTATGAACATCATTGCGTTTTATGTTGTTTGTGAAACACCAAGACTACTACGACAGATCAATGACACAGTCTCACCAGTAGCATTAACTGTTATCTGTTTTTAATTTTTAGAAGATTAGTGTTCAATAAGCATTGACACATAAGAATTATTTCTTTGCAATGAGGCGCAAGCATGGTCTTAGATTTTATCTTTTGTCATGTAGGCACAAATTTTGTTGTTTTCTCAAATTTCATTTATCTCCTGTATAATCCACAGAATTCTTAAGATGATGCATATGATTTCCTCACATGCATCTGATAATCGGATGACTCCATCTGCTGTTGCTGCTTGTATGGCACCACTGCTCTTGCGGCCTCTTTTAGCTGGTGAATGTGAACTGGAGGATGATTTTGATATCAACGGTGACAATTCTGCTCAGCTTCTTGCTGCTGCAAATGCTGCTAATAATGCCCAAGCCATTATTACAACACTCTTGGATGAATATGAGAATATTTTTGATGTAAGTTGCTCTGGTTTATTGGTTTTGGAATTATGTTGGCTTATTCATTGATGAGTTCCAATTTGAGCCGTAAGCCATGCATTGCCATCTCTCTCACTTGTCTTTTCTCCGTTCACCTTCTCTCTTCTCATATCTGTCTTTGTATCATCGTATATTTTCTATTGCTCTAGTTGGCTCTCAACTTATGGTTTGGATGCTTATCTCTTTGTAAAATGTACAACTCTGTATGCTATGGTTAACTAATGCAGTTCTTGAAAAATATATTGACATTTTCAATTTAGCTGAATGGCATCAACATATTTGCTTCCTCCTTATTGATCTAGTTATTATGCTGTGATTTTTAAAATGGATTGAACAGTGTCATTGAATTCCATCTGCAAGTGTTTTATGCTTGTAATTGTTGATCGACATTTTTATGTAATTCTTAATTCAACTCAACTAAGCTTTACTCCATATATGGTGTCAGCTAGACCAACTTTACACTCCGCTATCAAGGGTGGACATCTGTGAAGTTAAATTAGAAAGATTGAAATCCCATTTGATGACCTCATTCCAATTAGATATTAGGCTGACAGCTTTCCTTAGATTTACTTAGTGTAACACTATTTATATTCGAAATATATAATGACTTTCTTTGAATATGCCGAACCATGTCACTTGTATCATTCATCGTCTTATGAGCAAGTATTCTCAGATTTTCTCCTACTAATTTTGTATCTTTTTGTTTAAAGATATCCTCTTCACAATTTCATTTGGGTTTTCCTTTTAATCTCATTTAGAAAGATAATATATCATTTTCAAGAAGCTTACACCATGGAGCCCATCTTGCATGTTCTTAATCAATGGATCACTAATTAGAACAAACAAATAAGTGATTTTTTGGATCCATCCATAATTAGGATTTTAGTACACATTTGATGCAATGTTGTTTTAACAGGAATCTAATTGGACTCTGATATAGATCTGAAAGTCATACCTCGACAACTAATTGTTGAAATTGGAGAACCCAAGTCTATACACACCGAAAGCCCATACTTTCGATGTGGGATTTGAGTCCCATACCTTGCTATGGGTACCTCGACAACCTACCCTACTTCGCGATCCCCGTGCCCACTTTGGATTGACTTTGCACATCCTTTGACTAGTCCAAGATGAACACTGTTATGCCGACATCACCATTCACGTCTCTCGATTGCAATCGGAAGACGTGGTGCTTACTCTGATATCATTGATATAGATCTTTGGAGAGCCATACTTCAAAATCTAGTTGTTGAAGTTGGAGAGCCCGATTCTATATAAATCATACATCGAAACCTATACTTTTGATGTGGGATTCAAGTCCCATACCTTGCATTGGGAACCATGATAATCCATCACACTCCGAGATCGCCGCGCTCACGTTGGACTGACTTTGCACTATCCTATGACTAGTTTTGGACGAACATTTCTATGTCGGCATTACCATCTGTACAGTTCAATTGCAATCGGGAGACGTAATGCTTGCTCTATACCATTGATATAGATTTTGGGAGAGCCATAACTCAAAAGCTAGTTATTGAAGTTGGAGAGTCCAAATCTATATAAACTACACACTAAAAGCTCATAATTTCGATGTGGAATTCAAGTACCATGCCTTGCAATGGGAACCATGATAGACTTATGCAGTTTCTTCACAATGATTCTCTCTCTCTCCCTCGTAGATATCCTTCACAACATCAATATATGCATTTTTTACTCCATCTGTGCCCCCTCGGACCCCACCTTGGCTTCTATGGTTGATCTCTCCAAGGTTGTGCAATTTTTCATCCAAAGACTGAAATATTAATTACCAAAAATGAAAAGGCAACCGAATATTGAATGTCTTCATTCTGTAGCACATTGTAGTTTATGTTGTTTCCTTTATTGAAATAGTATCGTTTGGTATTGTTCTTTGTCGTTTACCTTTTTTTTTTTTTTTTCAGGATCATAGTCTGCACAGATGTTCTATATCTGCAAGTTCACAAACTGACAATAGTGATAGTGAAGATACAACTGATGATGAAAATATAGACATAAAAAACAATGGTTATCATGATGCTGAAAATGAAGTTGACCCTGAAACAGAAGATGACTGTTATCGTAGACTCAGTGGCAAGTTAAGTGAAAGCAGTGGTTCTGCAGCCAGCGATCTTTACGACTATAAGGTTATCTCTCTCACAGTCTATGTGCATACTTCGTTCATCTTCATATACTTCTCCTTGTAAGAGAGTGTAATAGGTTAAAGTTATCTAGAAATTTATGATAATCCCTTTTCCCTTTACATTTTTCATTTTTTGAAGTAGACATTTTTGCTGAAATAAAACATGTTTTTTGGATAAACGTGAATTCATGGAGTGTCATTTCCGTATCTCAAATACTTATGTTTTTGGTTGGGTAATTAAGATTTGGTAACTGAGCAATTTGTCAGCCGAGGACACATTGCACAAAAATGACAATTTTTTTCCTAGTTTGACAAATAGATTAATGATGATTGGTCTACATTTTTCTTGTTCCACATCAATGGTAAATGAATGTTCCAATTATTGTGAGTCATATTTCCTATTTGTCGATTCCAGTTACTTCAATGATTTGAATATTCTTCTAAATTTTTTTACCAAGGTTGCTATTGTCTTGCATTTGGTAATACCAGGTAATTGGAAATGATGATTCAGACGTCGGATCTCCCATGGATAGTCCTACTTCTGCAACTAAATCAAATCCAATTATAGACCCTAAACCTTTTAGAGATTCTAATGCTTTGGTTAACGAGCAGCTAGACCAACAGAAGAAGCCAGGTGAAAATCCAATGAATGCTTCGATCGAATTAATTGGTAATGAGTCTCAACAATCTATGGGGGAAATTTTGTCATCTATGGATCAAGAGATAAATCTTTCAAGTCCTGCACCTGTGTCATTGGTTGAGAAGCCAACCACCAAACATACAAATTCCAATCTGAGTGTCCAGAGATCAACATTTTGGGGAAAGAAAAATGTGAGTTTCCCCTTCCTTTTCTTTAGGTCACGAGCTTTTTGGCTTAAGGAAATCTTTCACATCTAAAACAGCCGGAGAAAGGGGTGCGGGACTTAATCCTTACCATAGAAAAATCAACCTTACCATGAGCCCCAAGAGACTTAATACTTTTTTAAAGTGTGCATAGCTGAACTGAAAAGGGATCTTATTGTTGGTGTAAACTAATCAAATCCCTAACTTTAGATGCCTTATATTTAGGCTCCACTGATTATTAGCTTTTACCAAACCTTCCCTTTTCTGGAACCTTCTTTATAGCGAAAGATGCAGCCTGCTTGTTAAAACATGTGCTTTTGCCTTATTATACATGCGCTCAAACACAAACGATATGTGTTGGTTTTTCTGAACTTTAATTAGCCTTGTTTATGAATTATATTATTTCCCTCTTCCTCCATTTAGAGCCTCTAACTCATACAATGACATTCCTCATAACTCGGTTGCTTTATCTATTTGCATATGGTGATGGATTGGAGTTTCTATTTTATCGTATAAAAGCCCTTGAAATGTTCTTTAAGTTATAATTCTGTTTCCAGAATGAGAAATGACAGAAGTTCTGTATTGAATATAACATAGATTGCATGAAAACAGGATAATTACCATACCGAGCAAACATTATGTCGAGTTCTTTGTTTGTAAACATTGTTTTCTACTTTCCTCCCCTGGCTCTGGTGGAAGGTGGGGTGGGGGTAGGGGATTGATCATGTATCTAGATTTGATTTCTTACATTTTTATTCTTATGTTTCATTTATGCAAATCTAATGCAATGGCTGTTTTCTTCTTGCAGTCTGGGAAAACATCTTCAGCGGAATCAGTTGATTCTTCTGGGGAAGAAGAGTAAGATAATCTTAATTACACTTTTTAAATTGTGTTTCAGATCCGCATACTTGTCATCTTCCATGAAAGGAACACGAGATTTATATGTTGCACATTTTCCCTGAGCACATTGGAGGTCTGTTTTACATGATAAGTTTTTTAAATTGCTGTTTCAGATCCTTATACTTGTAATCTTCTATGAAAATCACACGAGGTTTATATGTTACACATTTTGCCTGAGCACATTAGAGATCTGCTTGACATGATAAATTTTCGTTTTGCTCTTTCAGAATTGCTCTCTGCAGGAAGGATTTTATTTTAATTTTCACTCTGGCAGAGTTTGGGAAGTTATAGGGTTATATATATTGTTATATTCATAATTGTGGAAGCATTACCTTTCTATGATGATCTTTTTTTGGGTAAAATGTTTAGTGTTCTACTGTAGACTGTACTTTCTCAGTCAGCCAGTCTTCATTTTGCAATTGTTTTTGCTTCTTTGCGCATAAGATTTCAAGCTCGTATCTTCTCCTGTATCATATATTGGTTAAGAGGGGAAATTGGAAGGGAAAATATGCTATGGTACATGAGCAAGACTAGAATTTGTAACACATATTAATTTCTTAACGCTCTGTTTAAGAATGACGACATTTCTTGCTAGTGTGTATGTTGTGGAAGATCCTTTTTCTAAAGTTTACAGTATACTATTTTGCTCAATCTTCTGCTAGAGAGTAATTCAGCACAACTTTTCTTTACCCCCTAATTAAAGGATTATCGCTTGTGCTGTTAAACTTTTATTATTTTTCTTTTTCATATTTGACTTCTACAGTTTGTTTATAGGCTTGCTATCCAGAGATTGGAGATTGCAAAGAATGATCTGCGTAACAGGATTGCGAAAGAGGTCATTTTTTTACTGTAACAAGCATGTTTACAAAATTATGTCACCAGGGTAATGTGTGTGAATATGATTTATTTTTCGTCTTTGTTAGGCAAGAGGAAATGCAATTTTGCAAGCTAGCTTGCAGAGGAGGAAACAAGCTTTGCACGAGCGTCGTTTGGCACTTGAACAAGATGTATGTGTTGGTTATACTTGATTAAATTTAGCTATTTTTTCCAAATGCTTTTCAATCATCCCCATATTAAGCGAGTTCTATCTTTAGTGCTCTTTCGTTTAGCCACTGCAATTGCAAAAGATATATTTCTGTAACAGTTTTTATATTTATTACGGTATATCATCCAATTTTGTGAACGACGACCTTATTGGTAGGTCACATGAAAGTGTGCTTCTTATGCTTTGATGACTTTTGTGCTCCTTTGACACTTTAATTCCTTAAAAAGGTTTGCAGTAGACGACTACACGTACATCCTTGTCCCCTTACCCTGCATGTATTGATCTAGTGTTTGCAAACTTATCCTTGATTCTGTTATAGGTTGCAAGATTACAAGAACAGTTGCAAGCTGAGAGAGATTTACGGGCTGCATTGGAAGTGGGCCTGAGCTTGTCTTCTGAGCAGGTTTCGGGATCTCATGGGATGGATTCCAAGGTGTGTATCACTTATTATATCTCAGTTATCCTACAATTTCGTGGAATGTTGGATATGTTTTGTCTTCTATGCAGACGAGGGCTGAGCTTGAGGAGATAGCTCTTGCTGAAGCAGATGTGGCCAGATTGAAGGAGAAAGTTGCTGAACTTCATCATCAGCTTAGTCAGCAAAGTCAAAATCACTATGGCACTCTCCCTGATGCATCCGGTCTGTTTCAACGTGCCACAAATCAGAGTCCTCCGCAGTGAGTCAATAGCCCATTATATCATCTTATGATGCTGTCAGTCGTTTATGGAATTCAATGGTTCCTTTATTGCATTTTAACTATGTTCTTATATCACCAAATTACTTGGGCATATCAGTGAGTTAAGTAGAAAACAACTATGAACATTGTTTACAAGATAAATGAAATGTAGAAATGCCCGAGATTTGCTACAAGGTCTGGTGAGTTTACTGATTGGGGGGTGGCTTGCATCATAAGATGATATGCTCAACTAAAATTTTCTTCCTCTTCTTGCAGTCCGACAATATTCACTATATTTTTATGCCGCATTACTTGCAAAAAGATACCTTTACTATGGACACATGATTCTCTGTAGTAAACTACTTATCAAGAGTTAGTGCATCAGTTGTTCTCAAATTTTAGGGAAACTAAGTAATTTATGCTTTCTTATTGAAGAATATTATTGTTTCCCTTCTAGCGAGCCAAAAAATTCTGGCCCGCTGTGTTAAATTTTTCTTTGAACAATGTTCACATGCTTGTACGCTTCTACAGATCTAAAACATAAAATGCCAACACATTTGCTTTGTACCATCCATCTAGAATGAATCACGTGAATCTAACACGTTCTGTTCCAAAAACATATAATAATGCCTATGATGGTTATATTATTTAATTTCAGTGGTTGAGGAGTAAGCCATTCAATTCACTTTAAGTTGCAATTTGATTTAATTTTTGTTTATTAGACGTTCTCAATCTTGGGATGAAAGATGAAAAAGCTTACTCTATTTTCTCTTCAGGAAGTATTTCCAGCATGATTTTGACACAACACTTGCTTTCTGTAACCATGAAAGGAAACAAAGAACTGAGGTGAGTGCATGTCAATCTTCTTTCTTTCTTCACTTTTTTTTTCCTTTTTTCTTTTTTTTTTTCCACGCCTTCTTGTTAAACTGTGATGCATTGCATTATCTGGGACTTGTTTATCATCATATCCATGTGCCTTCTATTTTATGACAGGAAAATTAACAGAATTTGTCTTTTATATTGGGTGTGGTTACACTTTACGTTCCATGTATTTGGAATTTTCTATTTACATACTAATTTTTATAAGCGTTAACAATTAACATATTCCATCATCTGTCAAAACAAATAAGAAAAAATTTATAAAACATATCCCCGTGCGCAAGGTTACTTCCACTTCACATACCTTGTTAATATCTTTTGAGCCAGTTTTTTCCTTTTTTTGAACACCTGTTGCATAAAGTGGGTTACACTTTAAATAACTTATTTCTACATATTACGATTTACATACTACTATTTCATAAGCACTAAAATAACATTTTTAGCTATGTCCGAAAAAAAAAAAAGGAAAAATTACAATTTGTTAATACCAAAAAGCTACGTAAAAGGTAAGACAATCTTGTTAAAATGAAAAATATATGACATAGCATTATGTAATTCGTAATTTTTGAAAACACAGAATGTAAAGTGTAATTACTTCCTATATACAACATATGTATTGTAATTTTGTCCCTTTTTTGGGATGTGCAGCCAAGCACGTGACTACATTTTCTATCCGACTCAGAACTTGCCCTCAATTGTTACAGGAGTTTGTTGGAGCAGATCTGAGAAATATTAGAGGACAAGTATTAACACCTGGCAGCAGTAGTAGACGACCTGCTCGGCATCAGTTCATGGATTCAACAGGTTTGAGTGATTCTAAAAGTACTGGGGCATCCATGATTTCTTCCGTGGACGACCTCTCTTATGTTGATTCTGCAGCCATGCCTTCCACATCTAGACCGGCAGAGGTAGGGTCAAGTTATAAAAATATTTTATCTGATCTTAAAAAGTTCAATTAGAAGTGTATACCAGTATGAAATAGATTTTAAATAAATAATTGTTTAATTGGTCAAAGTTGGAAGTAAATTACTTGAGAGTGTAAGGTAAGAGTTACTTCCCAATTTCTTTTATAACTTGTAAGGAAAGAGTTATATATCCAAACATGTTTACTTCGTTTTGTGTGGTTTTTATTTGTATGGCTTTGTTTACGGCCCATTGAACGAGGGGTGGTGAGCATCAACTTTCTTCTTCGTTTTAGAATACTTAATAAAATTTAACGATGCATGTATCAATTGACATGTTGTGACTTGAATCTACGATGAAACTTTCTGATACTAAAAATGCTATAATGTGCTGCAGGTGATAGATTATCCTAGAAATCCCTCAGCAGCAGCATCCACTTTGGTCGAATTGACAACACGTCTTGATTTTTTCAAGGAGAGGAGGTCTCAGTTGATGGAACAACTCCACAGCCTCGATTTAAACTATGAGACTTCACAAGATTATATGTATAAATCATCGTCTCTTAAGTGGAACTGAACATGGTTTCTCCTCAGGCGTATCAAGAGACACTGAAGTCGCGACCTTGTATATTCTTCGTCCCCATTAGTATATAGTCGTATTTCATATTTGGCAGTTGCTCTACTATTAACTTTTGTTTTTGTTTTGCATTTTTGGAGACCACAGAGAATGCAATTAGCATCTAGGCTCCGTGATTCTTATCAACTATATTAACTTTTTAAGGTGCACAACTTTGTGTAATTATTGATAAGACATTATGTTATATGTATGGAAAGTAGTCGAGCATTTTGGTCGAACGAAACATACTCAATGTCTGTGTTTTGTCAAGACATTTTGTAAGGATCATAAATTCCATATATCTCGTGGCTATTGTTATGTTAGAAGCTGTTTGTGTGTTAAACGATATTCGTGCATACTTAGGTATGGATCTGAAAGTCTTGCTCTGAGACGGTCCCTCTCGTAATAGGGTTAATTCGCATGGACTGCATCGTTTCAAACTATGATTCGCTTTTAATCCAGGCCGGATTATGCCAAATGAGGGCACGCAGTGCTCCTGAACGGCAGGTTGTGCTTTATTTTGGTGCAGCATTGCTAAATTGTATTAAGGGCCCGTCTAGTATGGTTAATGCTTTTGTTTTTCGTGTTAGATAAGAGCTTTCCGAGCGAATCATCTTCAACCATCTTTCTGTAAAAGCTCTTTTAGGCCCCGTTTGGTACCCATCTGTTTCAAAATGTATTTTTCTATCTCTTTTTTTTTAACTACACATTTTTTATTAAAATAATATTACACGTAAATCAGAAAATTTTCCTTATTTTCTGGTCACACATTTCTCATCAGTTTACCATTCAAAAATACATTTTTACATAAAAATGCCTGCACCCTCTTAATTAGTTATATCCAAAAGTTCTTTTAACCAGGTCTTTTCACTAGACAACATAGAAATTATCCATATAGGCTCAAAAGGAAATCACGTTTTACTAAATTATTTAAATAGGTTCTGAGACCTTAAGGATTACCAAAACCTTCCCTACAACTTACATATAATCAGTACACGACATTATGAGTATTTCAAAAAATCCTGACTAATAAAAAAGAGGAGACTGAATATTGAAAGCTTCAAGAAAAGGCAAAATATAAAAAAAAAACAAATTACAAAGGTAACTTCTGTATACAAAAGAATTTCAAAATTCATCGTTCTGCTATTAAGAGGTGTCTGTCTGACAATAAACATTTCTTCTGTCTGGCATTGTTCTCCATCTAGTATGTAGCTGTATGTATAGTCACTTGTGACGGCCACATAAACAAGTCGATCCATAAAGTGTCATTAATCTTCATCAGATGTCGAAGTTTGAAGATTTTACTCCAATCTCGGCTGATAGTTATTCTGTGTCCCATCCAGGAATGTTCGCAGTTGCCTCGTTCANGTCGAAGTTTGAAGATTTTACTCCAATCTCGGCTGATAGTTATTCTGTGTCCCATCCAGGAATGTTCGCAGTTGCCTCGTTCACTGCCTTCACAAGTCTTACCTGTACACGAACGCATAATCAATGAACATGTAGGAAATTATTTTCTTCTTTTCGTTTGATCTAATTTATTCCGCGTAAGCAATCACATATGCTTACTACTACTATTACTTGCTTGGATGGACTGAACATGAGTTTGAATAATCTAAAATACTACTAAATGCATGTTTGGCAAAGCTAAAAATTGTAGAAACCAGAACTGTCAAACATATATTTTATCCACACATTTTGTAGAAACCAAAACTGCCACCCACTTCTTATCCACATGTTCCCGTAGAACACACTACTTATAATCACTCAAAAGTACTCCAAAGCATGCATTCAACACAATAACTGATGGCATAATTTCAAGTATGAGTTATTGGCATTGTATAACTAATAGTAAAAATAGCTAATTTGCATCGGAAAAGAGAAAAAAAGTCTTATTAAATATGGGAGAGTTGATCGAGCCAATTGATTCGTCCATCTTGTAGAGTAAATTTTAGATCCACAAACTCAAGCAAAAAAATATAGAGATGCATTGAAGTTCAGAATAGAACGGGTGACAAAAGGCTAGGATTATAATAATAAGACCTACCACACTTTCAGGAACGCCTGGAGGGGGCAGCGGGAGATTTCTTGGTGGAGGACCACGAAGATGAGATCTCTTGTCAAATCTCCATTCTCCAATTTTTCCATAAGTTAACTCTCCCTGTTAAATTGCCAAAGTTCAACAAATCATAAGCATTATATAAATGAATCTTCATTTTGTTTGAATGCTCCAAAGCCAAAGAACATGCAAAAATTTCGAGAGTGCATTATTTTAGTATAAATTGGTTTACCTTCATGTTGTAATCACATCCATATGTATAATGGATGATGAACTTCTTTCCAATTTCCGTATCCCACGGGGGCTAAACTTACAAATGATACAATGTTAATCATTTTGAGATTTATGGAAACTCGTTGAATATAAGGAGATTCCAACATATAATCATGCATACCTGTAACATGAAGTCTTTGCGAAGAATATGCCGCACGCCATGCAAAGCAGATGCAACTGCATATGCATACCTATCGAACAAACAAATGTCAGCCAAATTAAGAGACAGTTACAACTGACCAAATTCATGTGTTAGAAAGATTCCAAGAGCACTTGCATTTCTAAAACCCAACCAAAAGCTTTATCAGTCTCTGGGTCACCTTTCATCCGCAAGGACACATTCATCCACGTAGGCGCAATTTTCTCCAGAATTGCCTGGAAAAATTAGATTGGTCAACACAATGTAAAAGGTATCTTCCACGAGGCAATTGCATAATGTATGAAGGCTATAGCATAAAATAACAGCGATAATCAATGACATTGAGATTTCGTGAAATTTTTTGATAGGGCACACTCTATAAAGACTGGCTTGATTGATACCCCTGCTATCTTGAAAATATGGGTTTTAAACCAAAATGGCAGATGTGTGCTTTTGCCAAGAATAGGAACCTTCTGACCAGGGTACTATTCACTCAACAGTTAGTGAATGTTTCGGTTTGATTGATTTACCAGGAAGAGACCATTATGCCCTCACTCAGTTCATAAGTACCATTTTAATAATGAAATAACAACCTAAAGATATATATATATAAATAAATTCTAAAGAACATGACTTAGGAAAGACAAAATGAAAAGGAGAAAAGATGCGATTAGCCATTACCAATCTCTCCATCTTATCATTTCTCCACCCTCTTGTTTGAACGACGGATAGAAGGAAGGGCGTCGAGGGGTTGGCTTCAAATACGTGGAGGTTGATTGCTTAAGTTGGAGTTGGCAGTTGGGGGTGGGTGGGTATGGCGAATAAACTATAAAGCAGCATTTATGTCTGTACAGTATTGGGTTTTGGTTCTCGATCCTATATTCATTTTCCCTTCTTTTGTAGTCTTTATCTCTTCTAATTTTAGTCCCCATTTGATACCCATTTTTGTAAGAATGAGAATGAAAAATACAATTGTTACGAGACCTACACAAAAGATAGAATGTCAAATATGGTGACTTGAAGTAATGGATAACAGTTTGTGGCCAAAGAATGGGAATCAAACGGGGGGCTCAATTTTTCTCTAAATTATACCGTCCATTGACTTGAGCTAATCATAGACAGTGAACGTAAAATGCCTTCTGACTCAATAGTTAGACTGACAGCATTGTATGTTTCAAGCAAGAGAGTGCCTATCCCTACAATCACGAGAGGACTAACAATATTTTCACATAACCAGGAAATAAATGTGAGAACTACACCACCTTACTTTACATTTTCACAACATTATGTACTTATACGACTGTCAAGGTGTAGTAGAAAGCACATGATAGAATTTAAGAAAGCAAAAGAAAATCAATTGCAACCACATCAAGCAAGTCACTTAGATTACATTATAAACCAGACTCTACCTTCTTGATGATTACTGGAGAATTGCCAATTGGATCAACATTGGTAACAGGACCTTTTTCTTCAGAATAGAATTTTCTAATGATTTTCTCGTTCTCAGCCGGTTTTATGTAGAAAAAAGGGAATGCAGCTGGATGTTCTCCATGAGCCAAATTTGGCAAAGGATTTACAAATATGTGGTCAGGTTCTGCCATTAGAATGTATCTGCATCAGTGATAGCAAGAGCTAGGATTTAGATTATATAGCATTGCAGATGGAAAAAGACTTCTCAGGCTTGATCATAAGATACATACTCTTCCTGAATAGTTGCTGTCTCCAGCCATTGCACAAACGCCCACGGCCTATTTAAAACAATGTAACCCTATTCACCACATTCAAACACGATGCAATGCAAAGTAAAACATCATTAGAAGTGGAAGGAGAAAGCTTTGCAAGGAAAATTATTCTCACATAGAAAACTTAGAAGCAGAGACAGCAAAAATCAAAGCACTGGACCACCCATTTATTTTTAAATCCAAACATGTCCAAGAAGACTGAACAAGAAACCTTTTGACAGGAAAATATATTTTCTCAGTAAGCTTTACTAATAACATGGACTCGTCATCTTGTTAACATAAGTATCAGTGAAGACTGAAGCATGTCTTCCTTTTACTAACTACTAAACAGCAAATATTCAGCTGTAGTAGCGACATTTAGTTCAAGAACGGTAAATAAAAGCATGAGTCAGCATACTAAGTTG